ATACTAGCTGCAAGGACCTGCTTTGCTGGGTTTTTATTTGTATGTAATATAGCTTTTTTATATATATATAAAAGACTGTTTTTCTAAGTAATCTAGAATCTAGCTGCAAGGACCCGCTTTGCTGGGTTTTTATTTGTGGGCAAAAAGTAACGATAGTGAAGATTAAGATAATTACATTATAGCCAATCTTACCCATTTTCACAAAATGCAAGAATTAGGTCTCCCGTTTCCAGAGAATTTTTACATGAGCATAAAAATATGTTCGATTTCCCGCAAAAGCGCAAAGAACCGCCTGTAAATCTTGCATGCCGCTTTATATTAACACTTCCTGGTCCTGATTCTATTTCTGAACATCTCCTGTTCACGTCCAGTCAAACAAACTATTTTCAACATTTCTGGAACGTTCACGATCGTTCTATAATTGAACCAATATTTGAATTTTATGTTTGAATTTAATTCGAATATTGTTCAAATTTGTTCGAACAAATTTGAACAATATTCGAATTAAATTTGAACAAAACATTCGAAATAGAAAGCCACTTTCAACCACTTTCAGCCCCATATCTCCCGCACCCTTATAGCTATCAAGACGCAACCACCATAGTGCACGAATGGAGACTTGGGGCTACTACCACATACAAACACCATTCACGTGTGATGTGTAGTTTTGGCAGAAAAGTGAAATATAGGGACATACATGTCCATTTATATATATATATAGTACCTAATTTATATATAATACTGTACAGACGATAGTAAACTCAATTTACCCGCCTAAACTCTCCGTAGCATGGCGCTGGACGGCAGAAAGTAGTTCGGCTGCCCAATGACATTTTACCGAATTATAGGAGTTTTTTTACCATGTTTGTACAGATACCGTCACAATTTTTTTGCCGTCATATAGGAATCCGAACTATAGGAACCTGTGTTATAGGGGGGGTCGACTGTATCTTTATTTTATATATATTTTTTTGGGTCGCGAAAAAAATCACAATCATAAATGGGGTCGTGAATAAAAAAAATTTAAGAAGCCCTGCCCTAGACCATCATTGATGCGCAATTAACTGATTGCCCCTGGAAGTAAGCTTCTTACAGAAACACAGCTTCCCTATCATCAAATGTCACGGCACACCAATGATGGAATGTCAAAAGTGATTTTTTTAATGTTTATTTTATTGTAATTTCATCCAAAAATGCAAAAATAAACATATCAAATTTCAAAAACTCACTGTAAATTATCTCAAATTACAGAATTAACATCAACTTTGTGTGAAATTTGAGAGGAAGATGTTATCTTTCAAGGCCAGAATAGTAAAACTTTATTACTTTTGTGGCAGATTGTCAGCACAGTTCACACTGACTAACTATTACTACTAACATCAATAATCCACTAATGTTTTATTACTTTGTAAATGAAAACTCTCTTCCTGGTTGTAAGTCAGTCAAATTACAATGCTATAATTTTATTGTACAGTACTTAGAAAAATGTTTTCTTTAACATTTATTTAACAACTAGGTTTGTTAGATCTGAATTATTTTTTTGTTTGGTCACAGTTTAATTGACAAGCCTGTATGTAACCCTGGGGTTTCCGGCATGCTGGTTCCCCCAATTATATACAGCATGCTGGTCAATCCATAAAAATATGGTATCAATAAAAAAAATCTCCCATTTTTATATGGGGTACCACCAAAATAAAGAGAAAAACATCCAACTACTGGAAATGCAGACAAAACAGGGAATTTACAAAAATGTGTGCACACAGAGTAATTTTTACCTCCAAAATGAGAATGTTTGGTAATTCAATATAGTTATCATATTTAAAGTATTGCCAATTATTTTGATAAAAATTTTACTGCAGAATAATAACTACTAATTACACAGAATAAGTGTTTATTGTAGTTTTTCATTTTAAACAGAATATCAATAAAAGTAAACTAATGAAATACTGTATACCTTACTGGATCCATCCTTCATTAAAAATATATATATATCAATAAAAATATTCCAAAAAGAATCGATGGAGTCAGATAATCTATTTTTTTTATATTACCGTACTGTACTAATCTTTAGTACACGGAAAACTACTAGTTTTCCATTCGTTTCTGACTTTTGGAGGCTTAATAAGTCCCGAGTCCGTAGACTGATATAAAAAATTAAAAAAGGTAAACAGGTTAACAAGGAAAATATAATTTTATTTTTATATAAATATATACTTCACCCCAAATGCAAAAAAAATGCAAATGCAAAAAAACTGTATACCTTAACCATGAAAATTAACCATGTTCACATTTTTTAGATTACTATCATAAATAACAAATTATTTCAATATACTAACACATTGTAATATCATTCATTCGAGATTTTTGATGCATTGTGATACAATACTTTGGATTTTAATAAATGAAGATTTTGGTAGTGATTAGTTTTACATATATAGTTTAGTTTATTATTTTTTGTAAGATATCTTTTGAATGACTATGTACTATGTTGGTTATATGTTTGCACAAATTGCATCAATGTTTTTTGAAATGTAAAATGTAGTAGAAATATTTTTTAATATAATGTATACATTTTAAAATTTACTAAATTTTTAGTATTTATAATATTAAATAATGATTTACTTACTTTGACAAGAGAGACACCAACTGCAGATGATTTTATTTTTCCACAAAGTGGTTCACAAGCACCACGGATAAATTTATGTGGTAAAACAAATATCAAAATGTCTGCATCTTTGCAAGTATCTACTACATTAGTGACTGCTACCTAAATAGAAAAATGTTAAAAGTATATTTTAATATGTGATGTGTCCAGAAATTAAATTCTTATTGACTAGAAAGAAACAAACTTCCTTGAACTTAGGAGAATACATAGTTACAACTATTTTTCAACATATTCATTTTTAAGGCTCATATATTTATCATGGCAACAGATAAACTTTGCAATCTTTATCAAAGAAGTCTCCTGCCAACTTACAGACCTAACCATGTACAGTAATACCTCGACTTACACGAACCCGGAGTTACGCGATTTTCAAATTTCATCAATTCATCTTTTGTTTGAGCGCCACGCAACTCTTGATTACTCACTTCCCCCCACACTATTGTTCAGCTTACATGTTCAGATGTGTCACACGGAATCGACACATAGCTACAATTTATTTTGTGTTATTTATTTCTGTGTTTGTTATATCTACAGAGACTTGAGAGACTATGTGGTGATTTCTTGTAACCATGAACAAATCAAAAGATGAAATAAGATTAACAAGAACATTTATTAGCTTACATACATCCAACTTAGATTTTACACAAATTGCAAAATTATACTCCGACTTACATGAATTCAGCTTACACGGTTATCGCTCGGTCCCACCTATTGCGTAAGTTCGGGGTATTACTGTACAGTTGTCTGCAGTTTTCCATTAATGTTGAAAATTTGTCCTGCCAAAAACTTCTTCAAATGCGAAAATAGTTGGATGTTGGAAGGTGCTAGATTGAGATTATATGGCAGGTATTCAAACATTAAATATTTTTTAGAAATTCCAGTGTGCTACAGGTAGAATGTAGCCTTGGATTATTATAAAGCAAAATTACTTCAGAGTTCAGTAGACCACATCAATTGTTTTAAATAGTCTATCATAATGTTTTCAGGATCTTTCAATAACTTTAACTATATAGTGTTGCTCCAACAAAAAGCTGCAGACAATCATGTAAGGTTGGGTTTAAATTGGTTTGTTTGGAAAGTTCATGGTAAATTTTAATAGAAATAAAAGAAACTGTTTTAAAACAAAATATACTTTTATTCCATTATGTATGTGACGACGTTTTTAAGGGCATGTTGCCATCTATAGGGGAGTTTCATGATACCCTTTTCGTAGAACTTTCCAGTTTTTCCCGCAAAAAAACAGATTCACTTGGTTTTTTGCAAGCTTTCAAAGTATCAAAGTTTTTATCATGAAGGGAATTCTGCAGAGAACGAAACAAATGGCAGTCCAACAGGGCAAGATCAGGTGAGTATGAGGGGTGGGGTAAAACATTCCAGCCTAGTTCCAATAATTTTTGGCCTTTTCATAAAGATGTTTGCAGTCTGGCATTATCTTGGTGAAACACAATGCCTTTTCTATTGGCCAGTTCCAGACGTTTTTCTTTAATTGTCTCATTCAGTTTATCCAATTGGGGGCAATACTAATCAGAATCAATTGTTTGGTTCTGTGGAAGCAGCTCATAGTACAGAATTCCTTTTCAATCCCTCCAGATGAAGAGCATGACCTTTGGATGAAGATTGGCCTTTGGAGTTTTTAATGGCGGTTCATTTTTCTTACCCCACCTGTCACTAAATACTTAAGAAAAGGGTCATTTTCATTTCGTTTTTCAAAAGAATCACAAATGGAGATGCGATCCAGTAATTTCTTTTCCATTAAGTTGTGAGGTATCCAAATGTCTTAACGATTCATGTATCTGAGCTTATTTAGATTTGAAATACAGTACTGTTTGATGACTTCACTATGTCTGCAATCTCTCAAGTTGTGTAATGAGGATTTTCATCCAATAATGCTTTGATCTGGTCCTACTCAATGACATGAGGACTTCCTGAGCAGAGAGCATCTTCAAGGCTGAAATTACCCACTTTAAATTTATCAAACCACTTTCAAACAGTTGATTCTGAGACAGCACGCCCACCACAAACATCACATATTTGTTTTGCTGTTTGTATAGCATTTTTGCCTTTACAATAAAAATAAAGAAAGAAGTGTCGAAAATTCACATTGTTTGCATCCATTTTTGCAATGAGACAAATTAAACAATATTTAAATAATCTTAAATCTTAACAACTTTCTTTGTAATGGATGAGTCTCAAAGTAATTTATTATAATATTCATTTGTTTGTACAATTCTAATCATTTTTGCATCAATTAGTGTTGCAACTGTCAGTATCAAAAATCACTACGAACTTTCCGAACAACCAAATAGAAAATTTCTTTCATGAAGATTTGCTGCAAAAGCTTATCTGTCACTATGACAAACATAAAATGAAAAATAACTGTTTATTGTTTTCCTATGACAGTAAATAAATTCAAAAAAGTAAGTTTTTTTTCTTTTCCAGCCAACTGGAACTTTATTTCTGGAAGTGTTTTATACTTTTTAAATAGATAAATTTCAAGGACAAATTTTTTCTAATTAAATTAATTAAAATTAAGAAAATTTTTAATATATTAATTATAAATAAGATAAAATGAAATTAAATTTGTAATAAAAATTTATATATATTGTATGCACACACATACACAAAAAAAAGAGCTGTTCTTTATGATTAAGTAAATTTAAGAAGCAAATGAAAGAATTCATTGTCATAAAATATTACTTTCTGCATTAAATTATATTAACTGAGAGAAAGCAAAAATAAATTTTCAAATAAAATTATAATTAGAGATACATTACAGCTTTCAAATTTAATTATATTAGTTGTTTGTTGTTTAATGAATACAAATTTCATATAACATTATTGTTATTATATAAAAATTAAAATTTATCCTTCTTGTATACAAGAAAGAAATGAATTGCTGTAAAAAGAAATTTTCTAAATAATGAATAATTGTAAAAGAAGAATGATTTGGAATATTTATGATATTGAAACTACAATTTTTATTTTCAAATGATAAAAATGATATGATGTAAGCTTAAAATTCAATTTTATGATATTAAATAAAAACAGCAATAAGAAAGCCAAAATAATCAATATAAATTGAAATAAAATATGCAAAAATAGGTTTGAAATTCCAAAATTAAAATTATTAATGAACAATCTAGTTGATTTTTACATCCAATAGTCTAAATACTCTATTGCTTAGATATCAGTTAATCAATCTATTATTAATTATAAAAAAAAGGTGGAAAAAAATTAAATCTTTAATTAATGTCACTTTTCTCAATATTTGCAGTTAATAAATATTTTTTCCTGAAATATTTAAATGACATACTAGTTACACTAAAAGTATAATATGAAGGTTTATCTGAAAACAGGGAACAAAGTAATATGCAAGAAAAAAATTACTCAAATAAGGCAAAAAAAATGTTTGAATCTAACATAATTTTAAAGATGTATAAAAATTACTGTATTTTACTAACAAAAATCTTAAGAAGTCTATTATAATAGACTCTATAACTGAAAATGAAAATGATAAAATTTTAATACCTCAGTTTTTCTCTAAGTTATGGAAACTACCTTTATTTTAATGAGATTATAAATATTCCAATACAAACAACATAGATGTAAATACATCATATACAGTCAACTTGTGTTAAAAAAACACTATTAAAGAAAATTTTGCTTTTGCTCAGGCAAAATGCCATTGTCATAGTGTTCATTTTCACACTATAAAGTGAACAAAAATTTTACCAGAATTCATAAAACTGAACAATAAATTACCTTTACAACCCCAAAAATAACCCTATTTTCAATTATGATTGTTTTTTTTTACAGTTTGCAACATAAATAATAAAAAGTGGAAATGTAATAAATGTTCCATTTTGAATAGAATAGATTTTCTTCTAGTAATCAAAAAACAAGTTTGACATTAAGCAAACTATAGAGCAATTCAAAATATCTGGTTTTAGGGTGCATTCTACTAACTCAGAAAACAGAGGTTAAAGTTAAAGGATGCTCACCCCCTTTAAATGGATGCAGTCCCATGCAAACACATGCTAGTTTGCATATTGAGAAGTCCATATATCGTGCTGCCAGGTTTGGCTACTTTTTTTTTACTCTTTTGGCATCAAAAAATATTTTCTATGTTTTCAATCTTCAACAGAAAAAAAATAATAAATTTTAGCTTTGTTTTGTTTAACTACTCTGATATACTGCTCTAATAATATAATAAATATCGTCTCTTCATTTTGTTTGACTTGAAAATCATTTAGAACATTAATATGTTTTTGTAAATAAATTTAATTTTATTTAACTTTATTTAGTAAATTAATATAATTATTAGTGGAACAGAATCTCTTTAATTAATTTAATCAAATTAATATGAATTGTTAGTGGAACAGAGATTCTGTTCCACTAAGAATTCATATTAACACAAGTTGACTATTATTTTTTAGCTAGGTATGTGCAGAAAATAACAAAATATCAGGTAACCAAATAAATAATATTTTTTTGAAATGTTAATAAAAATGCTTGTATTTTTTTTGTTTAAAATAATTTTATTCATCAAAATATTCATCTTCACATTCAGTTACACATTCTCAATAGGAAAACAGTTTGAAAATACCATTTTTGTAAATGATTTGAATAACTCCTGAAAAATATTTTTTTTTGTATCTGGTGGACTTTGAGGGGTATTGCTTATCATGATTACTTAAACGTTGAGAAGATTTGTATAGTGAGCAGCTAGAAAGAGTACTGTACATGACAAATTGTCTGCAAGCTATACACATTACTACACATTGCAGAAAGTACAACAAAATAATACAATTGAAATAGGATATGATCTTATCCTTCCTATCTTATGTAATATCTCTGTTGGATTACCACCACTTTTTTATTTTTGAATAATCATTTGTGTGGAAAAAAGTTTACAAATCATGAAGCTATAAAAGAAGTAACTCAATTTTCAAACTTCCCTCCCATTGGAAAGCATAATTGAATGTAAAGATGACTATTTTGATGAATAAAATTTTAAACAAAAAATACAGGCATTTTTATTCATATAAAAAAAATGAAATTATTTATTTGGTTATCTGATATTTACATTATTAGTGAAAAAAGTGTTAAACAAGTTTGTTATTGACTATTTATTGCTTCTTAATCAACAGTATTTTCAGTGCCTTGAAAGCTAATTGCTTTATGAATGATGTAATTTCTAGAAAGATCATAAAAAGCTCAAGAGGTTTTCTGGCTTCCATAGATGTAAGGAGAGCAAGATATTTTGACTTAGCAAAACATTATCTCAAAAATACTTTGATATAAAAACATGGAAGGAATTGAGACTGGAAATGAAGTCAGGACAAAAATAAAATTTCAGTTAAGGAAGTTTGACTTATTGAGAATTTACTGTATATNTCAAACTTCCCTCCCATTGGAAAGCATAATTGAATGTAAAGATGACTATTTTGATGAATAAAATTTTAAACAAAAAATACAGGCATTTTTATTCATATAAAAAAAATGAAATTATTTATTTGGTTATCTGATATTTACATTATTAGTGAAAAAAGTGTTAAACAAGTTTGTTATTGACTATTTATTGCTTCTTAATCAACAGTATTTTCAGTGCCTTGAAAGCTAATTGCTTTATGAATGATGTAATTTCTAGAAAGATCATAAAAAGCTCAAGAGGTTTTCTGGCTTCCATAGATGTAAGGAGAGCAAGATATTTTGACTTAGCAAAACATTATCTCAAAAATACTTTGATATAAAAACATGGAAGGAATTGAGACTGGAAATGAAGTCAGGACAAAAATAAAATTTCAGTTAAGGAAGTTTGACTTATTGAGAATTTACTGTATATATAGAAGTGGAAAGCATTGAACAAAATAAAATGAAATTTGAAAGTTTGTAAAGATATTTTTTGATTTACTTCTATAACAGTGAATTTAAATATTGATTCTTTATACTCCAATATTAATTAAATTATGATTTTTTTCTATTTATATGAAATTGAGAAAGGAAGGAAAAGAATGAACTAATGTCTTTTTCTGTTTATGAAAGACTGCTAAAAATAGTTTATGACATGAAATAGTAATCAACTTCCTGCATAGAGATGACATGATTGATTGACTAAAGTTGAAGTCAAAATAGAATTACATTCTACAAATAAAATCAATATATTGATTACTTTTAAAAATAATAGAGCAACATAAATTTAAATAGTGTTAAAAATATTTAAATTTCTGATAATTTTATCTATTAATCTATTAATTAATATTATCTAATAATTAGTGTTATTAATATAATTAATATAATGTTTTTATAGTATTTTGTATAAAATAAGTGTTTTTATCTGACTCATATGAACTTTATTATTCTTTTCTTTTTATGTATCCATTTTTTATGATGAAAATTATCATCATCATCAAAGAAAGAAAATAATAAAGTTTATATGAATCAGATAAAATTTCTATTATTTCATACTCTTCAGCATTAAACCTTAAAAAATATGAAATAATAATTCTTAGGAAATATGAGAAATAGATTTGAAATCTATCTGAATCTGATCTAATCTATCTGACAGTAATAATGCAAAATTTTTTCAAAATGTCTGCCTTATATGAGCAAGGGATGAAAACAAATTGAAATTTTATTTTTGAATTATTTAATATCAATAAAATTATTTTAAAATCTTAAATTTTATAGTAAGGAACATTCATAATATATTTATATGTAGTTTTATTTACATAAAATGTTTCTATTAAACAAACATTTTATGAATGTTTCTTTAATAGTTTAATAGTTCTTTAATGTTTCTTCATGAAAAAATAAATTGTAATTCATGTACCAACACATGTAATGAAACAAAGCACTATTGCAAAGTTATAAAAAATAATATCTTTAATTAGAATAATATGGATTAATTGTTTTAATAATTGAATAGCAAGAAAATAGTCTAATAACAGTAAGTAAATTATTTATGGAAAGCTAATCAATGTTTTTAAACCAAATTCTAAATAAATCTTTTAGTTACATTAAATTATTTGACAAATATGATCTTACATTACAATCATAATTACATTTCTATTTTGTTTGCTAGTGGAACTTGACTATTCATTCACATTATTTCAAATTTCAGAAATAAATATATGGAATTTAGTATGACAAATTGCTGTTGCAATTTTCTTAATAAAAATAATGTTTAGCAAATTTTTAACTAAATGAAAATTTTAATTCATATAAAAATATACATATTTTTAAAAACAGATTACTTACAACATTTGGTGGAATTTTATAACCTGGAAGATATTTTACATTTTCATGTTGTGTATTTATAATTTCACTAAGGTTCTTTCCGTCAACAACTTCTTCAAATACATACATTTTAACTGTTTGATCAAAATTATCAAGTTTAGTAACATTATGACCAATAATTCTTGCTATAGCTGTACCCCTAGAAGAAAAAATGTTTTATTTAAATCTTTATTTCTTTGTAAATAAAATAATGAAATAATCTAATTTTTAAAAAGTTACTATATTATTACTTTTGGAAAATACAATTTATACAATGCTATCATTAGGGTATTTCTGAAAAATCATTTTAATTTTTAAAAAACTTCTGATGGTAAAATTGATATAATGCAGTACACAATTAAAAGTAAAAAACTTTCAATTCCTAAAAGACACAGACTTATACTTTTTATACATTTTACATTAAAATATGAGGAAGAATTGTATAAGAATTTTGTAAAAAGATCAAATAAATAATCCTTCAGATTAAAATTAGAATATATGATATTAACAAAAAGTAAAACTGTTTGCTTATAAAAGTTACTTTTAATAAATTTAAAAAGTTTAAAAGCATCAATAGAGAATTATTAAACAACCTACATAAAATAACGAAACTACTCAATTTAACAATGATCATCTACTTTCTGATTTTTTGTCATATCATTTCACATTCTTAATATATTTATTTGTTTCATGAATAATGTGAAGAACATTATTCATACCATATTCTTTAGATTATTATAATTGAAATTGTATACCTTAAACAATTTCTACAAGAATATTTTACTCATTAAAATTTTCTCAAATATATGTTTCATATAAAGTTATTAGGAAACCAGTTATTCAAATTACAGTAGAGCATCGATTATCCGACTCAATTGGGGACTGGGGTTAGTCAGATAACTGAAAAAACGGATAACCGAAAAGTATGAAAAAAATACATTATTAGTATAGTATACAGTATTAGTATATCCCATGTAATTACAGTAGAGCATCAATTATCCGACCCTCAATTAACCGTCACATCGATTAACTGACTGTTCTAGTCGGCAAATTTCAAATGTCTGCTAGTGATATGGCACTACAATATTTGGCTATGTCTTGGCTACTTTAATATTATTTTTGTTAAATTTTTGCGTGTTTTAGCTAGCAACATTGCTCAACCATGAAAGGGAGGCCAGTATTTAAACAAGGCTTAATTTTCTAATTATGACTGGTTGTTTGTTTTGTGAGTAATAAAATAATTTAAAAATAATTTTTAACGATACAATAGTGACGTTTATTATTTTAAAAAAAATTTGTTAGGCTAAACATCGATGAAAATTCAATGCGAAGTTGGTTAATAGTGATATATTAATTTAATAAACTAATTACATGGGATATACTAATATCCTAATATACTATACTAATAATGCATTTTTTCCTTTCTTTTCGGTTATCCGATCAACCTGAGTCCCCAATTGAGTCGGATAATTGATGCTCTATTGTAGTATATTAGTATATTGCTATTAACCTATCTTTTGATGGATCCTAGTTTCAAGGAAAATCTAAACCCAGCAGAAAGGACAGTGTGGGACACATTCAAAACATGAGCAAGAATTTTTTGGGGAATGTAAGAGCTAACAACTATGAAGAAATCATGGAGAAGTTGGTAAAATCCTACCAAACACTGGACTGCAATATGTCACTCAAGATGCATTTGGATTTTTTTCCTGCAAACTTATGAGCTGTTTCTGATGAATGTGGAGAAAGTTTCCATCCTCTTTCTTAGAAAGAGGATGGAAACATCTAAGAAAGTTTCCTCTTTCTTAGATGGAAAAGCAGTAAAGCAGTAAGTAGAATGAGAACATGTTTGCAGATTATTGCTGGACTGTAGAGATAGACTTCAGAAGAAAAACATAAAAGAAAGAAAACATGTCATTAAAAGTGTTTTAGTTTTAAAATGTATAGACTTATGAAAAATGAGTCATTAGCATAAATTGTACTGCACCAATGTGCAAGACCAGAACAAAGAAATTGATAGAATTCAAAAGGTAGCAAGAAATTTAGGATACAAAATGTCAACAACCAAAGGCCTTGTCAAAAGCTATGGTAAACAAAAAGCTACAACTACAATGCTTAACACTACTACTACATTCAACAAGTTCACATACAATGAACAAACAAGGAAGGTAGTGAAGGAGTTAGGAAAATATAAAAATGCAAAGATAATTTACAAACGAGCACCCAATATTTATAGATTATTAATGAACGATAAGGACAAAATTAAATTGGAAGAGCAAGCGGGGATGTACAGTATCCCTTTTGAGAACCAACAATTAGGAATTGATAAAGAGTATATAGGGGTGACCAGAAGAAACCTTAAAGTACATGTAAAGGAGCACAAATATAGTGTTAATAAAGGACTCAATAGCACGATATTGGCAAGTATGGCACAGTCAGACGGAGCAGTGGTCAAATGGGATGAAGCAAAGATTGTTAGAATGGAACACTCACCATCCATTGTGATAGAAATGGAAAAAATAGAAATTTACAAAAGTAAAATGATGCCTAAATGCATTATCAACAGCTTGGAAATACAAAATTGAAAAAAGTATGGGTTTTCACAATTCATAAAAATTTTTGATCTGGAGTTTATAGGAATTAGTAGTTTAGACTCATTTAAAGTTGATATAATTTCTGTTTTTATTTCATTGTTAAATTGCAATGTGATTTGAGATTACATTTTTTTATTATTTATTTTTAATTTATGTTTTTTGTGTTTTTGTTAAGTTACAACACGTTTTGATATTACTGTTAGCTATTTATTAACTCCTGTATATACATAAGTTGTTAAAAGTTCAAATTCAAATGAAATTCGAACAAAAGGTTCCATTAGAATGATGAATGTGAAAGCCTGAAGATGGCCTATCCAAATAGGCTGAAAACGTTTGGAATAAAGAAAAAAACTCAGCAAATATAATCAGGTGTATTTAGTAACTAATATTATAAGTAACTAATATTGTTGAGAAGAAGCTAGATGGACATTAGCATAAATTTATCTGTATCTAATTAGCCAATTAGGAATGTGTGTAGCCAATAAATTCGATATTTTGAATAGAATGCTTTCTATCAAAAACCTCATTTACTTCAAAAGTGGTAGTATTAGGCCAATTCTGTCAATGGTGCCAAATTCAAATCTGGCACCATTGAAACTTCAAAAATAATTTTAAATGTTTCACAGGAGTTGAAATGAATTTTTTCCCCTCAGAACAGTGTAATAGGAAAGAATAAAACAATTTTATCAGAATGTTAACAAACCTCAAAATACAGTGTTTATTTTCAAATTTAAAATTTATTATTATTATTTTCAGTATATGATAAAAACAACAACAAACAATAAATTTAGAATAAATATATTGACTGCTAAAAGTTATTGAAAAAATAAATTATGAAAAAATTAGGCCTACATTTTGTTTTTTTTTTTCAAACTACTATTGTCCATTGAGTCAAATAATTAAAATCCTCTTTGTTTTGAATTTCTTCTTAAGTCAAACTGGATGGTCAGTACCAGCAAAAGTCCTATATAACATTTATCTATTCCCAAGTCAAATGAAATTTTATGTATATCATTGCTCCTCCTTAAGTTGAACAAATTGAGCAATGGATTTTATGGAGTTTAATAGGTTGGTCAGATGCTGACCAACCATAAATCCATTGTTAGCGTGTTGCCTGATAAGATAGCATTAATGCAACTTTACCTTGCAACCTGCCCTTTATTCATTAGGTTGTCAGTATTGTGGAAAATTCATAGATCTAATAGGAATATTGAAATTTGATGTTATGTATTATAGAAAATTTGATTGAATAAATTCAATGTAGCATAGAGAGGTAATTTTGTGATATACCTATATTCTTGATATTTACTTAAATCATTATTACAGCCTCATTATCATCATGAACTTAAATATAGCAGAGAATTACACCCTTACTCTACTGCTTTGGTACTTTGCATCTGAATAAAAATTTTTCTATTTTTCAATTATTTCCAGTAGTGATCCGTGGCATTTAATATAGGGGTGTTGTTGCAGAAGGACATGCAGTACGCAACCCTAATAAATTGTTTGATTTCACATAATGTTTTGATCACTGCTGACTTTTTTTTATTTAATTTTTAATTTTTTATTTAATTAATTTTAAGTTAAAATTAATGTTTTTATCAAAACTAGCACTGATCAAAACATTATACAAAACTAAAATGATTATATTAGTGATGCATGCTGTATGCCCTTCTGTGACAGCCCTGCCATTTTAGACACTACTAGCTGCCACTGTATACCTCCAAATGTAGATCTCTCCATAACTCAAATTGGCCATTTTTTGCCCCTTCAAATTCATGATTTAGATTTAGCTTTACTATATATTTATGAGGAAATATTTACCAATAAAAAAGCTAAAACTAAAATATAAATATACATATATTTATTTAAAACATACATTATCTAATTATGAAAAATAGTACATGACATTATGTAACAATAACAACTGTAAATCAGAATAACAAGAACTTGGACAAAATGATAAAATCGGAACATACTTCCAGATACAGCTTTTATCATATTAAATTTCTAAACAAACCTATTTAGAGTTTATATATATACATATCAATGAATATATATAAAATAATTTAACTAAATTATTAATTAATTATTTTGATTACATGAATGTTCTAATAGTAACAAGCAATTATTTATTATGACATTGNTGCAGTTGGTTAAAATGCTGATAGAGTAATGAAAAGGTTATGATGTTGCATCCTGTATATAAAACTTCATAAATATAAATAAAATTCATTTATTGATAAATTAATTTATTTTTATAAAAATTGAGGGGAGGAAAAAACAAAACTATATTTTTTGTACTGTAATGAAAGTAGTGCATGGATTAATTTATCCCACATTTCAGTTTTCCATGCTCTTACTTGAAAAAAATGCTTTCCAATGAGTTTACTATTTGTTTATTTATTATCTTGAAATTTCTCTGGGAGTACAATACATATAGTATTGTAATCATCCAACAACATTTCTTATGTTATCACTAGATATATTTATAAGAGTTATATATTATATTCTTATTTGTAGCCATAGCAAAATTTTATGCTATTACAACAACTTTACTACATTTCCTTGAGCAATAAC